CTTGATTAGAAATATGAAAAATATTTTAATTTCATACCTCTATAGTTGCTAAAAATTCGTCTCTGGCAATTGATGGACAACTGCTCACAAAGACTAGTTAACATTTGTATTGCACTTTTAAAGATGTAAAAGTACATTTAGTGCTAATGCTTAGATGAGGAAGTATGGCAATAAAACTTGCCACACATCTACCCATGCATTTCATGGTCTTGGGCAGTATTCCCTGTAAAACTGTGTGCTTGGGTGGCCACCTAGGAGAAATTCAAATGCTGCCCACAGCTGGCAGCATGTGTTTCTACTCAAATTAATGGACTATCAGCACATGCCTTGGTGTACACAACAACATTTATTCTGAACATGGATGGAAAAAAATAGAGAGAACATTGGTCTTGGGTAGGCAAATGTTTCAAACAGACACTGTTACATATATGGCTGATGCATTTCAAAGGCTTCCTTCTGACAAAAGTAGCTTGATAATGGAATATTTGCTGCCTCTAGCAGCTGATTAACAACTGGCTCTTAGAAAAATGGTGCCTTTCCTCCTGACTTACTGGAAAGGCAGCCAATATTGTCTAGAAGGGTTTTTCTGCCAAGATATTCTTTCTTGGCATTTTCCCCAGAACTTTTGACTTAAAACAGAATATGTCAGTTTTATTGCCTGTGTGTGCGCGTGTGTATACTGTAAATAAATTAACAGTCTTTTAGTACCTTCAAGACTAACATATATAGTATCATGAGCTTTCATGAGCAAAACTCACTTCCTCAGATGCCCCACAAACGCTCATGATGATAGAAACTAGCAAATATATATTTGCTAGTTTCTACGGTGCCACCAGACTACTCATTGATTCTTCAAAGTTACAGACTTACACTGTATTAGAATTAGTTTTAGGGAGTGATCTGGTATGTTCATTTTGGTTCCATCAGCTCCCTAAACATTGGGTGGTAGTGATGGGTAAATAGTCCATTAATCTGATATTTATCATTGCATTTGGAGGGCCTAATAAAGAGGAAATCGCAGGACTTCCAGCTTGGAATATCATAGAATCATAGGAATGGAAGGAACTTTGAGGTTTGCTAGCTCAGATGCCCCTCCAATCAAAGCAGGATTAAATATTAGCTAAACTATCCCTGACAGGCCTTTGTCCAATCTGCTTTTAAAAAATTCCAATGACTGAGATTCCAGAACCACCCCAGGTAATTTATCCACCCTAACAGGAAGCATTTTCCTAATGTCCAATCGAAGCCATCTTTGATACAATTTAAGACCATTGCTTCTTTCCTATCCTTAGAGATTGAGAACAATTTTTCTCCCTCCTCCTTATAACAAACTTATATGTACTTGAAAACTGGTATCATGTGCTCCCTCTCCCACATTCTCTCTCTCTGTATCTTCTTTTTCAGACTAAACAAAATAATTGTTTTAATTTTCCCTCATAGGGCATGTTTTATAGACCTTTAATTTATGTATTGCATTTCTCTGGATTTTCTTCAATTTTTCCACATCTTTCCTGAATTGTGTGGTGCCCAGAATTGGACACAATGCTCAAGTTGAGGCTATATCAGTGCAGCAAAGAGTGGAAGAATTGCATCTTGTCTTGCTAATGTATCTCAGAATGATATTTGCGTTCTTTCAACAGTGCTACACTGTTGACTCATATTTAGCTTGTGGTCCACTATGACCCCCAAGATTCCTTTCCACAGTACTTCTTCCTAAGCAGTCATTCCCATTCTGCATGTGTGCAGCTCATTGGTGTGTGTATGTGTATCATCTTACTCTGATTACCTTCTGCCCCAGATCTTCAGAAAATGTCTAAAATATCACCTGCCTCAATCTATTCTGGGGCTCTAAGAATGGTGGAGCAGTTTATGTTTTTATAATATTTCTAAAATATCAACATCGTGCTAGGTTCTGTACATTCTATAGGTGTGAACACTAGGTTCCTGTCCTGAAGGATGTACAGCCTCTACAGAAAGAAATAATGCAAAAAGGAGGTGAGGATGGAGGCAGAAATCAATGTGTTTTGAGCACTGAAGTTCAGCACATCTCTTGTGAGTGTCACTCTTTTTTAAATGGAGAGTTTACAACATCTGGCTAGCTAATTCCTCAGTGAGGAGAGACTAGTTGCTTAGGTCAGATGTGCTTGAAGCAGGGCCTGAAGGGAAGAAATCATATTGGGTTATGGAGAAGGGGTTTTGAATGTTGTGGAATTGTGCATGGGAGAAGTCAGGGAGAATCAAAGAGCTGATAAACTCACTCACCTGCAAATTCTCCTTTGGTGACCTGCTGAGGAATTGCTGACCTGTGTGCATTGCCATGTTGCAGCAGCAGGACTAGACCTAGGACAGAGACCCAAGACACAAGGGTGATAGTGAATGCTTCATTTCCTATTAATGCACGTCTCGTATAGAGTTACAGAAGCACCTATTCAGGCCTAAACCAGAGGGCCAGCCATGTTAGTCTGTATCTACAAAAACAATGAGGAGTGCTGTGGCACCTTTCAAAACTAATCTTTAAAAACTAGGGTTTCATGGTCACTCTACTGTCTAGTGCTAACGAAAGGAAGGATGATCATTATGACCCCATGAAAACTTTTATTGACACACCCAGGTTTTAAATTCATGCTCCCCTCTAACAACACTTCACCTCCCCCTTTGACAAATGGGAAATGGGGTAGATGATTCATTAAATTTGTCATAAACAGCATCCCAAATTATGAACAGGCAACACACTTTTGTCACCTGGGATGTGCCCAGCACAACCCCAGCAGCTGATAGATACAATCTGTTTGAATTTCCTGTGTGTGTGTGTATGTGTGTTGGAATTTCCAGTCAGAACTCAGTACTAGTATATTTTGCAGTGAATTTTGAGTCTTGGTGAGCAAAAATATTTAGGTACTTACTAGCTCTTCTGGTTGAAATGGTGATGGTGAGAACTGAAGTCTGCAAATGTATTTGTGTAATAACTGTGCCAGATACAGTCTTTCACTTATGTGCTCCTCAGTGTTGTCTAACTGCTTGACTGACATTTTCATAACTGCATTCTTCTATTTCTAGGAGACAAAGTCATCCCGCTCTTTGTTCCACAATGTGGAGAGTGTAGTTCTTGCATAAGCCCCAAAGGCAATCTGTGCACTAAATCTGAGTGAGTTGTATTGATTATTACCCTAAGCAATCTAATATTGTTCATGCAAAACTAACTCACATATAAAAAAATCTTTTGTGCCCTTATTTCCGCATATCTTTTGAACAGCCTTACTACAAGTCGTGGATTAATGTGCGATGGCACCAGTAGGTTCACCTGCAAAGGAAAATCCATTCATCACTTTATTGGTACGAGTACCTTCACTGAATATACAGTGGTGCACGAGACGGCAGTTGCCAAAATTGATGAACTTGCTCCTCCAGAAAAAGTGTGTCTAATTGGCTGTGGATTTTCCACTGGTTATGGGGCTGCTATCAATACTGCAAAGGTGAGGATGTTTTAAGGAGACAAACTGTTACTGGGCTAGTGCTGATGAGGCATTAGTCTGAGAGCCAGGAGAACTGGCTCTACTGTTGACATGTTTGATCGTGTTTAAGAAATATAATCTCTTTGTGCCTCCCTCAGTTTCCCCATATGAAAGATGCTTTGAGTTTTACAGATGATAACCTATATACAAAAGTCTCAGAGGGGTAGCCGTGTAAGTCTGTAACTTTAAAAACAATGAGTAGTCCTGTGGCATCCTAGAGACTAACAAAAATATATAGATAGTTCCATTAGCTTTTGTGTGCCAAACCCACTGCTTCAAATGAGCAGAGTGCTCATCTGAGGAAGTGAGTTTTGCCCTAGAATGCTCATGATACTATCTGTATATTTTTGTTAGTCTTTAAGGTGCCACAGGACTACTCCTTTTTATATACAAAAGCTAAGTGTTATTATTACATGTAGGGTTTTCTGTATTGGTTTCTATTTATCTCCTGGATCATTTTAGGAGAAAGTAATCTTGCACTTACTAAATCACAAAAAAAGCTTCTTTAATTTATGTTAAATATACAAAGGTCTTCTAGGAAATCCTTATTTCCTTGTAAGCATGGAGTTCTTCATGGCTACGTCTACATTGGCCCCTTTTCCGGAAGGGGCATGCTAATTTTTCAGATCGTAATAGGGAAATCCGCGGGGGATTTAAATATCCCCCGCGGCATTTAAATAAAAATGTCCGCCGCTTTTTTCCGGCTTTTAGAAAAGCCGGAAAAGAGCGTCTACACTGGCCCCGATCCGGCCCGATCCTCCGGAAAAAAGCCCTTTGAAGTAGGAATAAGAGATCCTCCGGAAAAGGGCTTTTTTCCGGAGGATCGGGCCGGATCGGGGCCAGTGTAGACGCTCTTTTCCGGCTTTTCTAAAAGCCGGAAAAAAGCGGCGGACATTTTTATTTAAATGCCGCGGGGGATATTTAAATCCCCCGCGGATTTCCCTATTACGATCTGAAAAATTAGCATGCCCCTTCCGGAAAAGGGGCCAATGTAGACGTAGCCCTCTAGTTGTGGGATGCGGGGGTAAGGGAAGCAAGAGAAATGTGGATTTAAAAGCATATTTTGGAAAATCTTTAATAAAAACCTATTCTCAGACTCATGCTCCAACTGTAATCCAATACTGAAAACTTTTGCTTCGAATAGCAAACATGCTTTTGTCCAATTTATGGTATGTTATCCAGTACAAGCAGTACCTAAAATGATTTACAAAATAACTAATGCAGTTGACTTGGTTTCTAAGAGACTCTGATGTGTTTATGATTGTGTAGGTAGAAGGTGGTTCTACCTGTGCCGTCTTCGGCCTAGGAGGAGTTGGCCTCTCTGTTGTCATGGGCTGTAAAGCTGCTGGTGCTTCCCGGATCATTGGGGTTGACATAAACAAAGACAAATTTGCCAAGGCTAAAGAGTTAGGAGCCACCGAATGCATCAACCCTCAGGACTTCACAAAGCCCATTGAAGACGTGCTGATGGAGCTGACTGGTGGTGATGGTGTAGACTATTCCTTTGAAGTCATTGGACGCATCGATACCATGGTATGTGACCTAAAGATGTTAAGATTATCATGTTTTTCAACTTGTAAGGCTAGTGTAGAATTAATCATCTGAGAGCTGCTTATCTAGTGTTTTTACCCATTGAAGGTCCAGTCTGAAGGTATATCTACACGGGGGAGTTATTTCGAAATAATTCCTCTTATTTCAAATAACAAGGCAAACATCCACACTACCAAGCCTGCTAGTTTGAAATAATAACTCCTGCTTGTGAAGAGGAATAAGCTTATTTTGAAATAGTTATGCTCTTATTTTGAAATAACTTATTTTGAAATACCTTAGTAGTGTAGACCAAGCCAGAGGTGCTGAGTGACTCCCACAAGCTGTTAAGTGGAAATTGAACATCATGGAATCCACATTCTTGACATGGATATTCTGTGTGGCAGGAGAGAGGTGGGGAGAGGGAACTCTGTAGAAACTTTGAAAAAGAAAATATACTGTCCCCTAGGCTGTCCATGTTTAGTTAGAAGGCAGAAAACTCAGGGCCTTTTTACTCCAGTTTTATGGCAACTAATGTCATTGCTTTCTGTATGGAACTCCATTCAGTTATACCCAGGATCTACTGTATGATTGCATTCATAGAAATTCCTTTGCTTTCTTCTTTGTTTGGGGGAGGGCAGTGGTTCCCCCCCTCAACCAAGGAAGCAGCATTGGGGTTCACCCCCTGCCCCCAATCCAGCAATCTGTCCCAATCTGCAGAAGCATGACATCATCTGCACAAAAACCCTGTGTCACTGTAGTGGCACCTGGCAGCTGAGAGCCAAGTTGTCAGAGAATAATCTGATTATCCAGAAAGCCCCTTACAAGAGGAGTGGAAGAACACAGATGGGTGAAATAGGTGAAAGAACGCTAACAGGACTGCTTCAGCATTAACTAACTTACCCCTCATGGCCCAAAGAAGTTTAGAGAGGGGATAGTGTCTCAGCGAGCAGATAGGCTCTTTGATCTAGCCGTGAATCTCAGTCCACCAGCTCCTTTGTGGAGAGGCCTTTGCAGGCTGGGTAATGGTGATTAATTATGTCAAAGAGGCAGCACTAATCTCTTTGATTCCCCTTATCAGGGCCAGATGGGGGGGGGGGGGCTAGCTGGGCAGCTGCCCAGGGCGCCAACCTACAGGGGGTGCCTGATGGCAGCTGTAAGGGACTCCGTGCGCCCGGCTGCGTGGTGCCCCTTAGAGCTGCAATCAGGCACCGCACTCCTGGGGCCAGGGGCCATGTGGTGCCCCTTAGAGCTGCCATCAGGTGCCACATACCTGATAGCAGCTGTAAGGTGTGCAGCATGCGAGGGAGCGGGGCTGCGCATGCGTTGCGCGCCCGCTGCCCGCGGCGCAGGAATGGCTCGAGCCGGCCCTGACCCTTATGTATCAGTATTTGGTACCATCAGACTTTTTGTCCCGCCTCAACCCAAGATGGCAGACGGGCTGATATTTGGCACAATATTTACTTTATTTCTCATTGCTATCAAAAAAACTTTACAATATTTCCAGTCACGCAACCAATTAACTGCTTGGAGTGAAAGATTATTTCATACAGTTACTAGTAGATCATGGTCTTTGTATGACTCTAGGGTGTTTCTTTGCTTTAAATCAGAAAGCTGCCATGGCATCCTGCCACAAGAACTATGGGATGAGTGTGATTGTGGGAGTACCACCTTCAGCATCACAGATCTCCTTCAATCCTATGCTGCTCTTCAGTGGACGCACCTGGAAAGGATCTGTTTTTGGAGGTATGGACATCAGGAAGAGTTACTAAGCACCGGTGTGTTTCTGCAATTCACAGACTCTTGGACCAATTTTTTTCAAATTTGGGTCCAAGAATTATGTGCCTAGATCCATATTTGGACTCCTCACTAAAGAGTCTGGCTTTTCAGAGATGTTGAGCACACTTGTGCTGATCGGGGAGGATCTTGGGCCCAAGATGGGATAAAGATGTTAATAAAACCCTTATTTATTGTTACAAAATTAGTTATGTAAGTGTGATCTAGAGTTTGGTGTCAATTTATCACTGGCTTACTCCCACTGTAAGAGCCACTGTTAAAAATCTTCTAAACTTTTATTAAAGCCATGCAGAATAGACTGGAAGAACTGTTAAAGCCTTTAAGAGGTGAAATATTAGGTAAAGCTTTCATTTTGTAGCTGTCTTTTATAAGGAGGCACTCTGCTTAATAGTCTTTTTGATAACATTAAAGGTGCCATTAACTGTCCTTTTCTGGGTGGAGAATAATTTATATGATCAACAGATATTATTGAAGTCCGATCCTGTTTTATTTAAGACAAAACAGGGAACACACACATAGTTACGCATATGCAAAATGGGGGAAAGAAAAGACTAGTAAAGTTTGTTTTGTTTTTAATGCAGCTTTGGTGCCTCATGCTGTTTTTCACATGCTGTCTTTCTGCTGGAGAAAAATTGTGCAACACACATTATTTATGAGCCACTTAAGGCCTGACAAAGTTTTACCAGTGTCAGGATATTAAAAAGTGTGGCTTTTACTTGCCTCTGGTCACAGGATTACAGCAGCATGAAGGTGGCAGCTAAGCCAGACTTATGGGACAGGAGACAAAAGCAGAGATATAGGAAAGAGGAGAAATAAGATGGGGATTGAAAACAAGTAAGGGAACAAAGCAGGAGTCCCGGACTCACATTCCAGATGTTATTTAAGGTTTAGCGGAAGTCTATGAAGGTGGCAATGTCATCTGGTTCCTTCTCTCTGGCCTGGCCAGCACACTTTTTAAAATCAGGGTATGAAGGCTCACCAGTATCACAGTAGATCCCAGAGCCTCAGGAGAGGGTGGGAGTTCCATCAATTATGCTATAGCTTGCATTGGTCACCTAGGCTACGTCTAGACTGCAAGCCTCTTTCGAAAGAGGCTTTTCCGAAAGATACGTTCGAAAAAGCTTCTTTCGAAAAAGAGCATCTAGACTGAAATCTCTTCTTTCGAAAAACTGAGCCGCTTTTTCGAAAGAGAGCACCCAGGCAGTCTGGATGCTCTCTTTCGAAAAAGCCCTGTTTGCATTCAAGAACGCCTTTTTTCGAAAGAGCACTTGCGAAAAAAGGCGTTCTTCCTCGTGAAATGAGGAGTACCACCATCGAAAGAAAAGCTGCGTTCTTTCGATTTAATTTTGAAAGGCTACTTTTTTCGAAAAAACCCTGCAGTCTTGACACAGCCCTAGAGACAAATAGTGTTTAAGAAACGTCTGCAACCTCATCCTATTTAAATTATCTGTCAAAACATATGTGGGTAATGTCAGCTATAAACATACTTCTCCCATTTTTAGAATCACTCAGCTTGCTAGCATGTCAGCCCGACTTAACCTGTCTACCTCTGAAACCTGTTAACCTGCAGTAAAGCCTCTGCAAAGCTCCTAGAAGTTTGGGCTTCTGTTACGTTGGACAACTTAGAATATAGACCTTTGCACAACAGCATTTCTAGCTTCCAGTGATCTCGGACACTGATGAGAGTCAGGAAATACAAATCAGTTTAGTTGCCCAAAGCATTTTGTTACTGATTTCAATCAATTTCAGTCCGAGTGATCAGATCACAATGAACTCACCCAAACAGTTGGTTTAGTTGTGATCCATTGGAACACACCTCCAGTTGTCTTTTTGAGATGCGTTTCTGCCAGGCTCATAATTTGCTCTCTCCCAAATCCTGAATTACCAGCTTTATTGTCTGTTTACCAACAAGTATGGGAGAGAACCACCTGACTCCAATTCTCAATATGTAACTTTGATTTTGATTTCAAAACACCTCTGACCATTAATTCAAGTGATCAGGGCTGAAATATTCACCAGCACTTCATTATTTTTTCACGATTATTGTGTCAATGGCTGTTTGTGATTCTACATTATCTATCTTCTGTCTTTTAGGCTGGAAAAGCAAAGATTCTGTCCCTAAACTAGTTGCAGACTACTTGGGAAAAAAAATCAACCTGGATGCATTAATAACCCACACTTTGCCTTTCGATAAAATCAATGAAGGATTTGAACTACTGCGCACAGGGAAGAGGTGAGAGTCAGTCATTATTTAATCTTGTAAATACTGTTTCCTTGAAAATTTCATTTTAACATCAGGCACTGAACAGCCAAGAACTGACAAGAGTGGACACTGAGAAT